AACAACGGGCACTGCTGCTATCGTCAATAATTACCCTACACAAGAGTATTTCATATACATATTTGAGGCAGCTGAGCCCATAGCCGCTTGCCTTTTCCTGCTTATAATCAACAGAGTGCCACACCATGTTAATTGTAAATGTTCACCATATTTCATGTAACATATTCTGACATGCCAGTCGATATCAATAAACCTGAACTGAACAGTTACTCACAAAAAGCTCAAGGGATATTGATGTTGCTTGCGTTGAAAAAAGTTGGAACGTAGCGCAAGAAAGCATGTTCAGGGAAAATATACTTAGTCATTTAATCATACATGCCAGAAAACAGTATATATATCGAAACTGATATTTTATCCGCTGTCAATTGGAAGGGTTTGGTGTTTACGCTCAGACAACATACTACAGGAAGGAAGAAAGGGCAGGGAATTTAATATCCTCTCATTAGCATATTGCCTCTTATTGAAAATATTGGTCTACATGCCTTTTGTAAATCACCTAAGGCAATATGTTACAACACCGTCTGTATCGTTTAATCTCAGCCGCCAATCCTTTCATGCATGACGAATTCATATATGGAAAAAACATGGAAAAGGGAAATGAAAGCGACAGAAGAAGTGATTTTGTTGCTGTCATAAACTGAAGACAAAGATAAACCTGAAGGGTACATAACCAAGCTGCTAGATTCTGCACGAACAACTATGAAAGGGGTGCTAAACGGAAATAAAAAGAAACCTACACAGTTGGGGGGTCGCTGGAAGACAGACGTCGAAGAATGTCCAGACTGTGCATGATGTACAAAATGACTAATAAACTGGTGGACGTACCAACCACTAAGTATCTGATACCAGCCCAGAAAAGAACAAGAAACAGTCATGCCTTCAAATATCAGAGTTATCAACGAAGAATCGATGTGTTCAAAAACTCGTATTTCCCAAGAACTATCGCAGACTGGAACTCGTACCAATGCACAGTTGGGGCATCATCTCTAGAAAGCTTTAAACAATTCCTGCAAAGATTGAGTGTAACAAGTCGTTCGGTGTGATATAGCTAACTTCCACCGCGCCGCGTGCCTGCGAAGCTGGTGTGTTACGCCGAAGGGCGGTTATACCGGATATACCGATACAGATACAGAATCTGATACAAGATATGGAAATAACGCCGCGATACACGAAGGTCAACCCCATTTACAACATTTCTGATATTTGCGTCTTCGTAAAATCCGAAAAATGTTGTAGATACTAGTACACAAAGAGAGAGAAGGTATAATTTCCACCGTCCACCATATTTTTTCTTTGTTGAAATACTGATTAGATCCTGGAATACACATTAATATTGATCACGGCTAGATACGAGGCAAAACAAAATCAGGCCAGACGAATTATATAATCATATATTCTACGTGCATGAAAACAAAATTTCAGCTTTTCCGCGCTCATACTTCCTTCACAGTGGAGAGACCACTAGTACTATTGAACCGTCACACATCCAGAATTATAGCTGCCGAGTATTTGTAAAGAGATTTTGAATCTCTTATCGCTTATAATCACTAATGTATTTCAAACTTCCCTACCTAAGGTATTATCAAATGATTACTAGGTTTGGGATTCATTCAAACTAGCTTTGGTATCACAGCCGAATGTAATGGCGTCTTACGTCGTCATTCGGCGGGCGAGTATGCTAGAGCAAGCCCGCTAGTGGCTGTGAGTCTTCATGCGTAAACACAATCAAACAGAAACTTTCCTTCATCTTACACAAAGGAGGTCTTTGGAAGGCACAGGAAGGATGTATTCCTGATATTATATTCAGTGCTCGTTTATGTTCAAAGATCTTGATATTCTAGCTGACCTCGCAGAGCACAGCTGTCTCCAGTGTCTCAAAATAATAGTTACATTTTGTGACAGCATAAATAGAGAAGTTTTGAATAGATCTTAAAAATCTTGGGAAGGTAGGTACGAGATGGCAGACCAAAGGACGCATTCCATGTGATCCCTTGGCGGCTTTCTACAGCATTGCAGCAGCACGTCCAGGTTTCGTTAGGGCATTTCTGCTGTGGTTGATATCTTGAATACCGGTATGTTTTTTTTCTCAATAGCTAGATCGAGTGTGATTTGAATAGATTCTCACTGAGCTATAACTCAATTTCCTTCCAACACAATATTTCAATATACGTAATATAGTATCTTGTAATGCCAATTTAATAAGAAATATATAGCTTTATCCTTGGCCTATAAGCCATTTGTACAGTTAAGAGTTATACAGTTGTGCATGCACATGCCTTTTCCTTGCAATTGCCACTGTTGATTTTGTGAAAAATGGGAGGGTACCATGTTGAATTCACTAGCCAATATTTCTTGCCCATCGTTCTACAGTCATATCGCGTCATCAGCTATCACTGCAGCTCGATCCCCTGCCTTGTTGTTGAACATGGCACAAACTGCCAGCAAATCCAATAAGAACTATCGCTGGATGCCAGCCACGTACGCAGGAATTGTTTGATCATGGATGACTCAACAGGTTAACCCAATTACCATTCATAGTCCTTTCCATGCCTGTTCAGAAGATTGACATGCATCAAACAGAATCTATTTTTTTGCAGTATTAATTTAGACTATTAGATGGTGCAAGTACAACGGTATTATGTTTATGGAATTTCATATTTAAGACAAAACCTTTCATTTTACTACAGCTCATCCTATTGAGTACTAATAATACTTTCAATAATTAATAATCTGCTCTAGAGTTTGTAACTGACGTTAACTATAGTACAATTGTTTCGAATGCTCTTCAGAACAACTTAGAGATGCCTTGATATTTTGCAGCTGTAAGACACGGGTCATTGTTTTGTAACCTTAACGCAGAATACAAATGATTCCCGAATCGAGTTAAGTGCTTGCTGGTCCCATCATTACGTTACCGTGCTTCAATAATCGAGTCTTCGCCATGGCTGCTTCGCTCGCTTCTGTCAACAAAAGCATGATGAAACTCTGCAAAAAGATTCAGAGGCAAACCCCGCCTTACTGATCTTAGATCTTTGGATCTACAAAGAAGATCGCGTTTTCTTTTTAACTGTGTTATCTTTAGAGATGGAAGTAGAACACTGATCGCATCAAACAGCAGCTTATTTCGATTCAAGAAACAACCTTGTCCCGTTGCCCCCAGTGTGCACCCACATATGATATAATTACACAAAACATGCATGGTTCTGTAGTGTATAACCAACGATTAGGCAAATTTGGATGTGGGAGCTAGTGTTCCTAGTGTTGTTGGTAAGTGCAATTATCATACCACCTGTGTTTGATCCTGGGAGCGCTGAAATTAAGTCCAGGCAATCACAAGTCAGATTACAAGCCTTATACACCACGGCAACGTGGACCTACATGTATACCGTAGGTGTTGAGTCAGAAATTATATCGCGTCGCTTGTTCCTGCTACCACTTGAAGGTTTAGCCAGCATACGGCCGTGAAAGGTCGGTTCACTTATGCTTACTTACGCTTAAGCTTATCCTCTGATCATACATGGGCACACTTTGCAACGACCTACTTCTAGCGTAATACGTTCTAGTAACAGAAGCTGGTTTCGCACCCATAAATAGAAGTAGGTATGTAGTATCTGTAACGTTACCATAGTTTCCATATTAAAAGTCAGAAATAGGATAAGATTATTTTGGACTGTGTGATATGTAATTACGTTACATAATGATACTGTCCTCGATTTTCCATGTACCGCGGAGTTAACATGACTATTAACTAGACATGGGAAACCAGGGGTTATTTCATTTCAATTCAATCTGCGACGAAAAGGGCCGAAACCTTCTCATTTATTTTCAGTCAATAGCTCTTTATATATGTGTGATACATACGATACTGTTAAGCGATACGTTTTGAAGTTACAGATGTATGAATGCATGTTTGTGTGTGTGACAATGCGGGTACGGATGTGTGTTTAGGTTTGCCGAAAACATCAACTGATGTAGGTTAGTCCCGTTGATGACCTATTAATTTAACCATTAATTAGTTTTCTTGAAAAGTTCTCTTCGCGAAATCCTAGAACGCCCAACACAGGTGGTCAATTAACCTATATGAATAAGTCACACAACTTTCCATGTGAGGGCCCCCATCATCCCAGCCCAGTTACAGGACCAAACTTAAGCTTGTATTCCATTCAGCCGGTTGGCATTGTACGTATTATCAATTACCATTAATCGCGATAACCTTCCGAACGATCGACGCTGCAGTCTGGGCTCTTCAGATTCTGGAGACAACCGAGTGCCGAAGTACGTTCATTAACCACGCTCTTATTCGGTTATAGAGGCTGCCGTCCGTCTTTTCTTGTGTTGTAAGAACGGCTCTACTGAATTATTTACACAGGTTTGGACAGAGATACCCTCTCTGCCCTCATTTTGTACAGATGAGTAAACCGTTTGTTTGCTTTTGGAGAGGTTTAAACCGGGAAAGAATGGCGCTGTAAGTGCCACTATGCTGGTGGTGTCAGTTTGGTAAGCCTGCCCGTTGTGGCATGTACTGGACGAGAGGTGTGACAATCAACAAAAACATTACTACATACTGACTTGACAGGATTTTCTGTTCATCAATATAATATGTACAGATGTTTTCCGAGTGTGCAAAACTGGTTTACTTCGTACGTTGCATTTCTTGTGAAATGTTGCTGCCAAATGTCATGATGCGTGCGGCCTTCAACAACAAGAGAATCCGCTTTGAAAACATCACAGAATCCTTTAAGTCCTACAGTCAACTTTAGACTGTGCATTCACGATAGGTCACCCTCTTGTTTCGAAGCACCGTGGATTACCACGCCTGGTGGCCTTTTGGAATTCTAAAGGCGAATTCATATCAGACTAACCACGTCGCGTGCGATGTAGCAGCCTCTGCGAAAACTCATATCTACTGCAAATGCGACGTGCGATGTAAACAAAGTAGAAAAGCGTGAATGATAATTATAAAAATTTAACGTATCGCACACAAATCATTGAGTACTCACAGCTCTTTGACTTTGTCGATGTTGTTGACGTCGGCCGGACCGGGGATGGCTCTCAAGGTGTTCGGTCTCTCACACTCAACTTCCCCCTTTTCCTGTCGGCACAGGCAATCGGCAGGGCACCGGAGCGCTTCCCCGTCCGCCAGCAGGCAGCAGTGGTAAGCCAGCAGCAGCAGGAGGAAGCTCCCGCTACGGCTCGCCATCGCATCGCCCGCACCGTTACGCGTGTTCCAAAAACGTCTGATGATTTGTGTCCTGAAAATTTTTTTCTGAGTGAGGCCTTTGCAAAAAAAGCTGAGATCAACAATCTCTGAGGCCGTTGACAAGCCGAGGAACCGCTACAAATGAGATTGAGTTTTCCGCGTGTGCGAAGCCAGCCGGATTCCTATTCGGCTTCTGTGGCAACGTCTTTTGTGGCGCGGCGGTGACGTCTGGTGGGGATGTTGTCATGAGGGGGACCCAGGCTGCTGATTGGTCGTCACTGAGCGGCCCTGCTTCTACCTGCAGAAGGGAGGTAAAAGAAATAAAGATATCATATCGATGTGATGACAGGACGAGAAGCCACTCAGATGGTTGTTTTAGCTCTATATTCATTGTGGGCCAAAGAAATTGTTTGAGTTAGTATTGAACACAACTATTGAGTACAGATATATCTGCTTTACCCTCACACTCACAATGTATAACTTACTATACGTATTACAGAGAATTTGAAGCTTACAGAAGCCCCTCCGCTTCCCCACACTCACTCCTCCCACCCCAGACATCCGACGTTGCGCCTGAACTTGTTGTTACCTTACGGACGCCTCTTACGGATCAGACAGATTTGGTGAGATTTGAAGCCGAGTGAATCTGAAGCGCGACTCTTGCTATTTAATTACGCCGGCTGGCAGGACCCGGGAGGAGCCACGTGATGGAACGTTATCTCTCCACAGGGGGAGGGTGCAACATGATAACACAGCCTCCTGGGACTTCTAATTCTATAGATGGGTAAACACCTAATTGCAGACTGTTGCAATATTCATAACAGATGGTTTTGAGTGGGTGAATTATTAATAAAGCGCGTAGGCCGAGTGCCATTTTATACCTTTTCGCGCAGGAACATCCGCTTTGTCCTGACCCTGCCACACAATCAGATTCTCTGGTAAAGGGGGCCTGGGAAAGAGAGGAGGTGGATTATCACCTCGTCCCCAGCGTAGTTCTGTCAGGACAGGTGGACTGTAATGTAAACAGTCCCCTCGGAACAAATCTCGTCAGCCATAATCTTGCCCCGCTTTTTTTCAGGTAATTGACAGTTTTTATCAGATGAATCAAAGCACCACAGACGGCCTTAATTGTTTAATGATGCCAATTTTTATCCACTTAGTACATTATCTTGTTTTCCTTTACATGATATCACTTAAAGAAAAGCAAAATATATTTATTCGTAATAAAGAGAACGTTGTCAAAGATAGTATTTATACGTAATGGATATATACGTATATACATATATGTTTTCGATACGTAAAGACGTAACAAAACTACTGTCAAGCCATACTAAATTAGGTAAATTAACAACGTTAACTGAAATTTATATTTTAGCATGTATATATAACCACCCGGTCGGAGTTGCACACCAACATTGAACAAGCAAACTCTAGCTACTGAGGCTACTAGCTATCACTACGCCTACATGCATGTGTGTGTAAGATGAGTAAAGGCATTTCTTCATACCACCGTTCCTCGTTAAGGCTCCTTAAATGATCGTTTTTGTAACGTTTAACCAGCAACTGAAGTTCACAAACACGCACGTGGGAGGTCTAGGGTGAAAAAGCATGAGGCTTCGTCTCACGAAATTGACTTGCCCTAACTTGACGATCTTAAAAGCATGCGTAACACTAAACATGAAAGGTTTCTCAGAAAAGCCACTTCACCTACTGGTTATCGACCAGTCTGAAGATGCCAACTGTGCCTTTCAACAGCTACCTGCTCCGCACAGCGAACTGAGGGCATCTCTCGGACAGTCGCGCGCGCGGACGTGTCCTACAGAATTTGGCTCCCGTGTGGTGGAGATCTTTGTCGATGGTCGGTTTGGCGCAGCTGCACTGTGGGGTTTTGATGATACAGTCGCACTCTTTTCGCCGACATCGCACTCATTAACGAGCTATTTTCTTATCTTCCTGCAGCTGCAGACCGTCGTTTTCCGATCTTTCATATTTACATAATGGCCGTCAACAGCTCCGACTGTTGATAACTTATCTCACGTGGAAGCCGTCTGGACGCGTGTCATTTTTGTCTTATGGGATCAATTAGCTATAGAAGTCTCAATCGAATCACGAGGCCAGAAATTCGCAGATTTTTTTTCAGTGAAGTAAATAATATGGGGAAAATTCCTAATCCAATGCCAGCTGGATTTGAAATACGCATTTCTTCGTGACTGCACCCCGCCTCTTGATATATATTTTTTTTTTGGTATATTGATATATTTATAAGGAAGCTTATACGTCTAAGTTGATTACGACTTTTGATTACGACTTTTTTTCACAACAGATGTACAGATCAGGAAGTGTAACAAAATCATCAAAGAAGGGCCCGATGTGCACGTGTCTTACCTACCGGCTTATGTAAACACGACTATGTAAAAGTTATATTTACGTAAAAGTCTATTCACAAATTGCTATAATAAAGAAACATTGAAATGACATATTTTGTGAGAGGGAATACACTTGCTAAAATTAGACGGCACAGGCAATCCGTGAGCATTAGGCAACAGTTGACGCTAACGAGATGTACATCTGTAAAGAAGAGTACGAAAAAAAACAGATGGCAGTACATATCACGATTTGATAAGAATCTCCTGTTAAGTCATTGGCTTTCTTGAGTCTACTTTCTAGTAAAGGACACCTGCTTGTAAAAGCCACTTCAGAATAGCGACGCCTTCGCTATTGTATTCATATGACATCGCTATTCTGTGCAGATGTCGACATGTCTGTGCAGTTTTCTTGGCTCATAGCTTCCCAAAAGTCTACTTCAGACATTTTTGGCATAGGCCACTTGAGTTTACAATGATTTATTATGGAAGAGTCCATTGTGTTCCATGGGGGTCAAATTCGTAAAATTCACATGGCATTTATCGTTACTAGTAAATTCTATTTTTCGTGCAATCCATTTTTGCTAGGGGAGCGGGAGTGAAATATATGTTATATTTCCTCGCAAATGTTGTCTGTATTTTTTAAATTCTTTGAACATTTGAATCTTTCATAGAAGGGAGAGAGTTCCCAAACAGAAAAAAATATCATCCCTGTCCACAATATAGGCTTGCTCGAGACACATTGGCATGTATAAGGTTATGATTACAGCAATCAGTGAGTCAACGGGGAGAGAGCCGGAACAATATATGATGACTCTTGCATAAGAATTGGAAAATTTCTACAGTCTAGCTGGAAAACCCAATCAATTAGGCAGACAGGCAAATGCTGAGCACGGTTGAACGCTGAGATGAATGCAGCCATTATGAGCGGTTTGGGCCCAGTAATAGGATGAGCTATGGCGTGGATTCAATTTGAAATTCCACATAGTGTAGTCAAGGTGGAATTTGTACGTTTCATATTGAATTAAAACAGATGCTCCAAGGTTCCAAGTAACCGTTTTGTTACCTTCGAGAAAACTGAGGTATTGTTTTTGGTCACCGTGTCTGTGCACGTGTGTCTGTTTGTCTGTGTTTCCGTGTATTGGATCTTAAAATAATCAATGAGAAACATTTATTCAATCATAAGGGTTAACATCATTTGGCAAAGGTATGAAATCGTTGAACTTTAGCTCTTGTATAATGTATGATAATTGGCAGTCTTTTAGCCATGTATTCGCTGCATGACCAAAAAGATCTAATTGATTTTCATCCACTCATTATAGTTTTGACATACTAGTATACCCCTCTGAGACGAATACTTCAAAGGATAAGAACGATTTTTGCAAACGTAGAACGAATGTGTATGATAGGATTTTGTCGTAACGGTTGGTATGTGTTTGAAAAGTGCTGAGAGGATACAGAGAATTAAAGCAATCATACATTGTAACGTTACTAGTAGGATTTACTATATTACCGAAGCCAGCAAAAACGGCGTCTACAAGACTAGAGCCCTGTTTACCAGTAGATAACACCTGCAAATGGCCGATGACTGATTTGTGTTCCGACAGGCGCCGTGTTTTAATGTGATTATTTGCTCTTTAATTCCCCGGTTTGCACGAGATAATGGAACTGTAAGGTACAGTGTAGAAGCCCTGCGGTGACAGGTGGTGTGATCAGGGTTGTTATACATGTACATAATCATACACGCGTCCTTTGTGTGATATGAGGACGGACATAGAGCGATCAGGAGGGGTGTGAATGGGGAATAGAGTTTCCAACATCACTCCAAAATAGTTCCAACCCCCTTATGCAACAATGAATTTTCCTTCCCCATCTCTAATGCGAAAGCCCCCGTAACAAATTTCATGTTATTTGGGATATTACACAACCGTAGTCGCAACCCAAAATATATATAATATTATGTATTTTAAAATAGCAAAAATATCCGAAAGTAGATCATTTTAAACGTATGAAAAATACACACCTAGGTATGATCAAGTCACCCTGTGCTGAATTTCAGATCGTTTGACTTAAAGTCATTGTGACATAACAGCTCAAAATCTAAAAAAAAATGCGCCTGAAAGTTTAAAAAAAATAATTTTACTTATTAAAAAATCATTTAAGTCGTTAAGGTTTAGGCTAAAATGTAAATGACCTGTGTGCATAAGTCTATGTCCCCCATACCAAATTTCTGGAGCCCCAAATATACATACATGGAAACACCACACACACAAAGACGCCCTTTAGCAGCTTAGAAATGAACTGCAGACATCAATGGGTTGAACAGCTCCTTTTAGCTTTAATAAACCATACATGAACAAAGTTGCTTATATACTTACAGTATAAGCTATTTCGAAGTTTTTAGTCAGTGTTGGTGATTTACATCACTTCCCATCGTGACTACTATTGGAAAAATAAGTTATATGTCAATAAGCTATGCTTGATCCCATCCTAGAAGACATTTCTTTAAATAATAGATGAAATGCTGACAAGATCATCGCCAAACACCAAGATAATAACCATGTACCACACCAAGTAAGCTATAAGCAAAGGTGTGAGGTTTTAGTCATTGCACCTTTGTTAGGTTGTGTCTTACTCCTTGTCCTGCTGGACCCATATATATATGGGTTGCATTTGCACATATACATGTACCTGTATTCAGGTCCTGTATGTTTGGGAATATTTCTCACATGAATGCATCGCACAGCAGCAAAACGCACCAAATGTGGAGTAACTATGCAACAGCAGGGCAGAAGAAAATTTACGAAATTAATAAGATAGATTACGTAAAAAAGGTCCAGCAGGACATGGTTTAAAGTGTTAAAAGGTCCTCACAACATTCCAAAGTAACCAAGTCAGTGGTTGCTTTGCAACAAAATCTAGTTTATAAAATGGATGAATCAAAATATAAAGTTCTTGTAGTGTTAGGTGTTGCAATACCGATCTTTAGAAGAATCATCAAATAAAATCTATTAAAACAAAAAGAGCCCAATACTTTAAAGTAGACTCCAGTGATGATCAAAACATGATCAAAATACATGTGGAGCAGTAGTACTTCATCTAACTCATATTTTGCAGTCAATTTGTATTTGCAACAATATGTTTGTCAATAGAATGGAGACAGGGCACATTAGAGAGTGTGGCCTTGCCAGTGTGGACCTGCTGGACAGAGACACATGGAAACATGGCGTGAAGACTGGCTGACAGCTGCCCACCCCTGTGCCAGGGACCTCGCAGCAGTATAATCAAAGACTGGATACTACTAATAAACCTGCTCTTGAGATCTACAATAGGGTAAGGAATAATTCTTACTGTCATAAATATTACATGTACAATATGATGAGGTCTACACAGCATTATATGCTTGAACTAGAATGATTTAAGAAAGCCTTCAATAATAAATTTGTACAATTCTGTACCTATCTTTTAAATTTACAAACAATACTTAGTAAACTGAAAATGAACCATGAATAACCAAAATTATTGTAGCTAAATAATATTTAACCAATATCTATATGCTAATATTTTCTTGAGCGAATCTAAAAACTAATCTATAATAAAATATACTGCCTTCGGCAATAATCTCAAACAATATCAATTTTTTTACAATTTTTCTATGATTTGTTACATATCAAGTTGAAAGTGTCTCCCCCCAAGAAAAAAAGCTCCTACAAAGTTGAGTTACTGCTCATCCAGGTTTCTTTGCTTTTTTTAAAGTAGTTGTTTCTTTCACCCTAGTATTGAGAACATCACCTTTTCTTGCTGCTGCTGTCTATGTGTTAATTACATCATATTTGTTAGTTTCACTTGAACACTTAATAATATTTCTTCTATCCTGCCATAATGATTGTAATGATTATAGAGCTGGCCAAATGTATTACTTAATTCTTTTTCAGCAGTCTTGATACAAAGTAATAGTTCACTTCCATATTTCAGTGTGCTTGATAGCATAAAAAGCAAAATATATATAATGCAAATATTTATAAGAAATCGGCCCAAGTCCAAGGACAGCTCCAGCAAGGTCAAGGTCACAGCAACTCCAGCTGTCCTGTCACCTGATCTACTGTTTCCACTTTACCCATGATGCCAAGCACTGTCTTGGATCCTGCAGGTATCTGTAAAATAAAATTCAAGAAAATAAACAACATGATTAAAACTACCTCCATGAATATTTTAATCACGTTATTAAATCAGTACATACTGGGTCCTTAGCGACACAGCCAAGAGACTGGCTCCTGAATTCCAAAAGCAGGATCACTACGTAACCACTGGACTCTGGTTACTTTAATGTAGAGGAAGTAGGGACAGTGAAATATATCTATAAGAAATGTTACCTGTGTTCTTCCTGCATCTTGAATAATACAATTGGGGAGGTTTAGAGCTGTAGCCTTTGATGCCAACTCTTCCAACTGTGCAACATTGTCACCCTTCAGAACTATCTTCATCTCACTACAACAAACAACACAAGAAACAGAAATTATACATTTAACATTATACTACAGACATGCAAAAGTCATCAATACTTCTCAAGCTGAAGACCGAATTACCAATGTTCATATGCACAATACAATAAAATTCTGTAGAGAATGTACCTTCAAGTTAACTATTCAACTTAAAATGCAAATGCTTGGCCTTCTTTCTTTTGCATCCCTCCATGTACATGATGAAAATGTAATGCTCAGTAGACCACTTTGCTGATCCCATTGGCTAGAAGACACAGAGCCTTTGGATAGCTCATGGGGAAAAGAACATCATTACCATGACAATGTGTATGAAGGGTATAAACACTGTGTCTAGTACCATCTATGCTGTCATGATAATGATTTTGTTTGCTCCATGCTACCCATATATGCACCTCCCCTACCTCTCCAGCATGAGATCTGTAAAAAAGGATTGTAATATTCCTACCCCTCCCCTGGAGTGCTTCCATACTGCAGCAGCATGGCAGTGTGCCTGCTCCGTTGTACAGTGCGGTACAGTTCCAGACAGGCATGGGCCACCTGGGCAGCAATCTTCCCCACCCCCATCTGCAGGTCAGTGTTGACAACAAACACCATCTTGTAGTGGTTGGTGTGAGTACCTGTAGCCTGCCGGGGAAGGGGCACATCCAGAGAGCAACTTTCATAGTGTCATCTTGAAATCTACTGCATATATATTTGTTTATGACTATTGAAAGGTGTATTATTGACTGATCTATGTAAAAATTCACAACTTTAAATCATACTATTCATAGATCACTTTATATCACATGTATTACAACTGGACAATGCACACTACAATGGATTACTACATATAAGTTACATGTCTGTTCAAACAATCTAAATCCTGTCTTCATGTAACGTTACCTCATATGGAGGTGGTTCTTCTCCTTCTAAGCTCTGTCCAGGGTCAAATAACCAGGCCAGTGCGATTTCTGCTGATGAGTTGCCCGTGTAGAACAGTGCCTGGAAAACAAACCATGAGGGAATATAAGCTTAGTCACAATCAGTACCACAGTCTTCTTGGAATTTTGTCCAGCAATTAAAATACTATGAATGTCTTGTGTCCTCTTTTACTCAATTACTGCAAAATTGATTTGAGTAGTGAAGTACTGAATTAGGATTGCATTCTGACTGCCCAGTGTGTGCCAGTGCAAAGTGCCACCATTCTTTTGGAAGGATACATGTTCGCCTTTGCAACATCTGCTTCTAGATTATAATTAAATAATTTCGACAGACTTACATTTTCTGCATCCTTCTGATCTATCCCCATGGCTGTCAGCTGTTTCATGACCTCAGGGTTGGGGGTCCACTCCTGCTGCTCCCCACTAGCCTCCGATGGGGGAGGGTTTGGGTTCTCACTACTCATGCTGGGATGTCTGCAATGCAGGAGGTTGGACAGCATGTATTTTCTGTCTGTCTGTTTGTTTGTTTGTTTGTTTGTTTGTTTGTTTGATGACATACTTGGCAGAATACGGCCGTGGCTTATCGTGTCACTAGTACCTGGTCTAATCATGGAGCTAAAAGATCTCCTTGGTCTAATCTTGGTCTTTTCACAATTGCTCCATGTTGGATTTCTCTGTTTACATACAGTGTATGTGCGTTAATGTGCCAGCATCCACATGCTGCTGTAATCAGAGGCTTATCCACCATCACAAGATTCATAATTGCATGACAATTAATGGTATTATGATGTCAATGAAAAACCAGGTGTATATTGATTATCGGTAAGGCTAATGTTACAAGTTATGGAAACAGACTGTCACATTCACTCACTCACTCACCTACATGTAATGTTAGCTCACTCACTCACTCACTCACTCACTCACTCACTCACTCACTCACTCACTCACTCACTCACTCACTCACTCACTCACTCACTCACTCACTCACTCACTCACTCACTCACTCACTCACTCACTCACTCACTCACTCACTCACTCACTAATGAACCGACACACAGACTATTGGAGACACATTTGAGACATACCAAGTTATCATATGCGTGCACACACAGACAGACAGGCACACACACACACAGAAAGACAGACATGCACACGCGCACACAAACACACACTGAATCTGATAGACACAAAACACACAAAACGTCCACGCCCACAAATAACAATCACACACACACACGTGCATAAACACACGCACGCGCCCACAAAAAAGTCCATACCTTACAGATAAGCTCTAACGTTATATTTTACATCCAAGCATCAGCACAGAAAAATGTTTGAGCGCCTAAACCATGACTTAACAGTAGCAGGAGAACATAAGTTCATAAAATAAACGTTACTGCCACTTGCCCCCCTCCCACATAATTTGCACCATCCCAGCACTCGGTGATCGTGACTGGATGCATGCAACCTGACCCAACCTTGAAGACTGGCATATTACATTCAAGGCAGAAAATAAGTAGGAATTTAGTTTACACAAACCTGTGGAAGGATTGTTGACCTATTTCTTGCCACAGAAATGTTTATTTTCTTCGAGTTTGGTAGCTAAAGCCCACATCAACTGGTGCCAACACAAGACGCCATCTTGTTTCCAAAGTAAATCTCCGTTTATAACCTTATATGGTCACCCAGCAGGCATGACGCATCGGTGGTTCAGTGGTAGAATTCTCGCCTGCCACGCGGGAGGCCCGGGTTCGATTCCCGGCCGATGCAAGTTTTGTTTTTACGACTTGTTAAATTGTTAGTTAAATTGCTACTTACTATTATAGCTTTTATCACTAGTATATCAGGCTAACAGAAATACATGTAGTTACGATACGTCAGTCATGAATATATGTTTTATCATCATTTGGTAAAGGCCATGATTGAAGGAAGAACATGAGCAGATCGGGGTGTCTGGAGAGAGATCTAGAGAGAGAGAGACACACACACAGAAAGATAGACAGAAAGAGAGAGATTAGACTTAGTACCACGGGCAAGCGGGCCGATATGATAATGATGGGGTACGGTCGTCACGTGGAACTCTAGTGGACCATGATTCTCTGTCCTTGGTGCTGATTTATCTCTCTGGTACGCCTTAGGGGCGGAGGCATTTGTGTAGGTACTAACGTTAGTACTACGATCGCTTTGAAAGAATTTAAAAGAATTTGTAGGAATGCGTTCCCTGGGGAATTTGTTTTGGTGTAGCCTTTGGCTGCGTGGTCTGGTCGAAAGAAGTAAGGACTTTTTTTTTTGTATGTAAAAGGTGCCATTTTAGGAGATTTTAGGCACTGATGATTAACCCTTCTCAACTGATATCCCTTCTGAATTCTTCCCCACCCCCACTCGTAGCCCTCCTCAACTCTTCCCCACCCCCACTTGTAGCCCTCCTCAACTCTTCCCCACCCCCCACCCCAGTCGTAGACCTCCTCATACCCTACTTGTAGCCTTCCCCAACTCTTCCTCATACACTATGGACAATTGGCAGTTAGTGGTGAAATAAATTTCGTCTTCCACTGCATTTGAGGAGCAATATTTACATATACTCTGTGACACTGGAGGCAGCTGTCTACGGCCGCCATGCTTCTACCCTGAAGTCCGCGGATGATTGATTGTGACACAGGTAGTTTCACCCCCATGAAACTCCTTCCTCTTCGCCCCCGCCGTTCTGCTTCGCCCCCGCCCCGTTCTGCTTCGCCCCCTTACGTTTATAAGTACTGGCCATGGCGTTTATAAGTACAGCCGTGAGTGAAATTTCCCGCCAGTACTTATAAACGTAAGAACCACTGACGGGCCGTGAGGTAGGGGTAAACTTTTGAATGGGAAGGATTTGTGCAACGCCACTTGGCAGAAAGGTGGTCCAGAATGTTTGCCGGAGCATGGGCTACTTTAAATTTGGCGGCACAGCCTTTATTGTTATTTTGCAGACGATTTTCGTGTCGACTGTGAGCTGTGCCGCCATTGGGGGCAAAGCAGAATTGCGCCGGGGGCGTAGAGGAACGACGGGGGCGAAGCAGATTTTTTGCGGGGGCGAAGCAGAACGGGGCGGGGGCGAAGCAGAACGGCGGGGGCGAAGAGGAAGGAGTTTCATGGGGGTGAGTTTTTATATATCGCCCTTTTTCGATTTCTAAGGGGCACTAAGATTTTAATTTTACTAATAGCAGAGCGCTGCTCCAAGTCAAGTGTTCTAAATATTTTTCTAAACACTGTTCAGTTCAGTTTTGATAATTTCATTCAATCCGTCGCCATGGTGATGATTTCTATTGCCTTCCTTGTTGTTGTTATATTTGGCTGTTATGCTGATTGTGTTTCTCTGTCCTTGGTGCTGAATGCTTCGTTTGAATATTCCTTGTTTATGTTGCTATGTTTTGTATTCTGATATGATTTGAATACTAGTATGTGGGTTTTGTTAATGGCTGTGGGGATATTTTGGAGGTGTGGTTGACTTTGTATGTACGGTTGTCGATTATTTCATACTTGATACTTTATCAGGATATCCATTTGTGTACGGCTGTCGGTTATGTAAATTGTGTCTGGTCTGTTAGTCTTTATCTATTGTATCTTTTCGTAAACTACATCAACTATCAATTCCATTGTTAACGCTGCCAATACTAACAGTATCATTAGTAACATTACCTTCACCAACCTTCATGTCTATGATCATTGAGAAAGAGAAAACTAAATAAAAAGAGAAAAAGATCACATCATGAATGGCTTTAATTTATCTTATCCGAGCTGTGTTAACAAACTCCAGAAACGTACCATTAACTCTTACAACAAGCTATGAAAACAAAACGTCATTTGTTTCATTACCCAGCATTTCAGGATAAACTGTAGATAGTCACTACACCGTAACCTGCTGTGACATTTGGGTGCCAAAGTTAAAGTCAGCGGCATGAACACCCATATTCTCTTCATCATTTCTCTTCTTTCCAAACAAGGTAAGACAGATGAGAAATAGATTTTTAATCATAACCAGATGATGTTATTGCTAGTTATATAACGTAATATTTCTTAGCGGATATACGCCATATAGCCATATGCAAGAAAAAATATCACCACAAGTTTAGTAAGAATTTCG